TAGCATTGACAGATTAGCATAGATAGATAGATTAGATAGATAGATAAGCATAGATAGATAGATAGATAGATTAATAGATAGATAGATAGATAGGATAGCATAATAGATAGATAGATAGATAAGATAGATAGATAGATAGATAGATTAGATTAGATAGCAATATTAGATAGATAGATAGATAGATAGATACGGATAGATAGACTAGATAGATAGATTAGATAGACGGGCTCAGTTGAAATCACGGGTACATACCGCTTAGTTTTTTTCCCTGCAGTTGAGCGGACGTGACACGTTAGTCAAGGCCGGAGCGCCGATGCTAAGCCATGCACGCGGATGCGGCGGACTGGGCTGCTGTCGCGCAGGCGCGTGCGCTGGTTGCCGTATCTGCTAAGGGCAATGTGTAGACTTAAGCCGCCGTTCACACGGTCATGGTTTGGCTCGAGCCACATATTGGGCTAAATTTGTGCTCGCGGCCGGTTTTGAGTCGGAGCGTTCACACGTACGCTAAGTGAATACTGTCTGTCAAATTCAATTCAAATTCAAATAACTTTTTATTGCCACAAATAATCTCACAATACTTTGGCAGTATGAAAATGCGAGATGGCGTTCGTGTACGTTTCTGGGGGCCGGTGTCAGTAATACAAAAATTAGTCGCAACATTAGTCTTCTACTTTAACTTTCCACTCTCTCTATATATATATATCCCTGTGACAGATAACATCCGTTATATATATTATATTCCTATATTATATATATATATATCCTCGCAATATCACCGCTTACATTACGAGAGGCCAGACCCTCTCGTAACTTTAATATTCAAGTTGAAAAAACACATTATTACACTACGAAATTTACAATGATAGTGATATTATAATTTTATTAATAATGAATAAAATGTGCTTTTTTTTCTGAAAAACACTGTCAAAATCATTAATTATCTACGCCCTAATAAAGCCAAAAAAATACATTTACAATTGGGTATTGCATTTTGGTTCTCTTGTTCATAAGGTTTCCACGCTTGCCACGCATTTCTGCGTCTTCTCGCCGTACAGTGTGAGATTTGTCTTGTTGTGCAGGAATCAATTCAGACCACGTCGTTTTTCATCAAATATTATTTATATATGTTGGTTAGCCCATCATAATATGCCATAAATTGACTGTGAATGGTACAATAAATGTGTATGAATTTGAATTTTGTGATCGATTCTCATCCAATCAGCAGCCTGTGTGGATGAAGTTCCTGTTATCGTAAGTTTTCTAATTAGCTGCCGATGTTGTTTTTTCTGTCTACGCTAGTCTCGCAACATTAGCATTTGTAAGTGCCCGCTTATGTCGGCCCTTACGACCTAGCTCGCCCGACAAGATTTGAATTATCGTACGTCAAAACCGGACCAGAATCGCGATAAAAAACATCGGCGACCAAAACTTCGACATGAGTTCTCTTGCGATCGAAATACGGTCGCGACTGCGATCCAGGATAGAACATGCTTCTATCTATGCGGCTGTCGGCGACAAATCGTGGAAGTGGCAGCCAATCACCGCAACGTCTGTCGAGTCACATTTCTTTTCAATGATTATCAATAGTCACGCATTAATAACAATAAGGCAGCCTACACGCCACTTCGCAGCAGTTTATATAAGAGGGATTATTGCACAAACCCTTTCTCAAAGTATATAATTAAGTTTTCCGTAATCACATGAAAAAAATTTCTGCCACATGAAATATTAACGTATGTTAATGCAAAATTGAGGATAAGATTTACGAACGTTTACATGATGATTTACTGGTAAGCGCTCATTTTAGTTTGTTACGTACGTGACTCGTTTTTATGTAGACGTGTCCCGGCGTCATAAGCTTTGCTCTGTTTTGTGCTAAAGAACTGCTTGCTGCTTAGTACAAATACTGCGCTACCGGCCCGCGAACCGTCTACGCTTTCATGCAGGAACGCTACCGATCTGATCGGCGGCAATGTGCCAGGCGTTAGTCACTTCAAGTCGACAATGTGTGTTGCTACGCTGCTAATCGGCGATAAAAGTAGTCGCGATAGATAAAAAATCGAGGCCGCATAAAAGCGGGCCTTAATCGTAACGCTTTATCGTAGCATTAAACTTCTAGCATTGAACTTTACATCGTTTCTGACAACGCGCCCCAGAGTGTTTACTTCGTTTCTCGAGTTCAATTATCAATCTTGAAAACTGTGCATCCTGATCAAATTTTTCGAATTTTCATACTGTTTTGGACTTTATTTTGTCGAAAGTACACGTTCGACATCGAGGCTCTACCGCTCAACCCGATTTACCGCTCTCACCGCTCGCCGAAAGCTTGCGCCTGCTAAAATTTGCGCTCGGGCCTGGTCTGACGTTGTTGATAGGACTCAAATTGGCCTCGTGCCATAATTGGCACGGAACGTAAAAACCGTCCGTTGTAACGCTCGGCTCGAGGCCCAAATCATGGCAGCGGAATCGTCCGTGTGAACGCGCCTTTAAAAAGTTCTCACTACATCTCCATTCCCTCACACACTCAACATGCACGCGCTGGCTGCGTCGCTGCGCCCGCCACACACACACACACACACACTCCCCAATCGGCCCCCACGCATGACACACACACACACACACACACACACACACACACACACACTACACACACGCCACGCATACACACCACGACACACACACACACACACGACAACACGACACACACACATACATACACACACACGCACTACGCCCACACGCCACACGCCACACGCACATCACCACACACACAACACACACACACACACTCACACACACACATAACACACACACACACACACACACACACACACACACAACACACACACACACCTCTTTCTCTTCTCTCTCTCTCTCTCTCTCTCTCTCTCTCTCTCTCTCTTTTGTTCTTTTTCGCTTTGTTCTGTCTGTCTGTTCTATCTGTCTCTCCCCCTTTCCCCCCACACACCCGCTTTCTCTCTTTTTCTTCTCTTTGTCTTCCTCTCTCCACAATTCGGCTCTTCTTTCTACACACACCTCTATTACTCATCTCTACAGCCACTATTTTTCTTCCACTTCACACAACTCTCTAGCTCTTTCTCTACACACGCCATGTTTTCATCCCCCCTCCCCTCCATGCCTCGGCACCGTATCTCGCTCCCTTCTCCCACTTCTCTCTCACAATTTATTTCTTTAATTCTCTCAGCTGATTCCCCTCCCCCTACTACACACCTTTTTTCCTCCTTCCTCTTACACGCACTTTCTCCCTCGATCACAGCACGCCCGCTCACACCTCTCTCTCTCTCTCTCGTCTCTCTCTCTTCTCTCTCTCATCTCTCTCTTTCTTCTCTATCTGCTCTCTCTCTCTCTCTGTCTGTCTCTCTCTACTCTCTCTTTCTCTCAACAACTCCTTTCATCATTTCGCATTTGCCTCATCCGGGTCCTCTCATGCTTATATCTTCGCGAAGCCCGCATTGCCCACGCAAGCCACTTTATAACTCTGTTTGATCGTTTCTCAGACTAACATCATCGGTGCAACTGTCGGTCAGTTGTTTACACTGTTGTTTATTCCGACGCTTCCTTGCCTCCCCTTCCTTTCCCGCATGTTTCTCTGGCTTCCTATAATCCTTCCCTCTGCCATTCTTTCTCTGCGGCCCATCCTCCCTCAGCATCCTTCTCTGCTCCCATCCTCTCCCTGAGCATCCACCTCTGACTCTCCTGCTCCTCTTATTCTTCTCTGTCCTCCGCATCTTCCCCCTCAGCATCCTCATCTGCACTCTTCCTCTCCTCGCCATTCCTTCCCTGCCTCAATCTCTTCCCCGCACGCTTTTCCTGCCTCCTTTCATCCCTCGAATCCTCCCTAGCCTCCTTATACTCCTCCCGCATCCTTCCTGCCTCCCTTCCTCCTCCGCACGCTTTCCCTGCCCTCCCTTCCTGCCCCCGCACGCTTGCCCTTGCCACCTTCCTTCCCAGCACGCTTTCCCTGCCTCCCTTCCTCCCCGCACGCCTTCCCTTGCCTTCGCCTCCTCCCAGTCCACGCTTCCCTGCCTCCCTTCCTCTCTCGCAGCATCGCTTCCCTGCTTTCATTTCCCACACGCTTCCCTGCCTCTCGTCCTCCCCCGCACGCTTCCCTGCCCTCCCTTCCTCCCCGCACGCTTCCCTGCCTCCCTTCCTCGCCCCGAACGCCTTCCCTTGCCTCCCTTCCTCCCCGCACGCTTCCCTGCCTCCCTTTCCTCCCCCCGCACGGCTTCCACTGCCTCCCTTCCTCCCGCACGCTCTCCTGCCTCCCTTCCTCCCCCGCAGCATCCTTCCTTAGCCTCCTTCCTCCCCGCACGCTTCCCTGCCTCCTTCCTCCCCCTGCACGCCTTCCCTGCCCTCCCTTCCTCCCCGCGCACGCTTCCCTGAGCCTCCCTTCTCCCCGTCACGCTTCCTGCCTCCCTTCCTCCCCCGCACGCTTCCCTGCCTCCCTTCCTCCCCCGCACCGCTCCCTGCTCCCTTCCTCCCCCGCACGTCTTCCCTGCCCTCCCTTCCCATCTTCCCCCGCATCCTTCCCTGGCTCCCTTCCTCTCCCGCACGCTTCCCTGCCTCCCTTCCCCTCCCGCAGCATCTTTCCCTGCCTCCCTTCCTCTCCCGCAGCATCCTTCCCTGCCTCCCTTCCTCCCCCGCACGCTTCCCTGCCTCCCTTCCTCTCCCGCAGCATCCTTCATTGCCTCCCTTCCTCCCCCGCACGCTTCCCTGCCTCCCATCCTCCCCCGCAGCATCCTTCTCTGCTCAATATAGGCGAGCAGCTTGCCGGAGCTTTGTGAGTGATGGTGATGGCGTCTTCGTTATTCGATACGACGCGGCGGCGCGGTAGCGCCTGCTGCGGGTATTTTTGGCCGCCATCCTCCTCCTCCTCCTCCTCCTCCTCCTCCTCCTCCTCCTCCCCTCCTCCCCCTCCTCCTTGCGCTCCCCAGCGGCTCGCGAGCGCTTATTTAGAGCGCTGCCTGCCGGGGTTTCAACTCAGAGTTGTTGGTGGCACGCGCCGTGATCCTACCTGATGCGCCTACTACTGCAGTAAGAGCTCATCCGCATATAGTCGCGAGTAGCGGTGATAGCATGCGACAGCTACGCGCATGTGTGCTAGGTCAGATGATGCGTACATGATGCGGATCAAATCATTATCGCATATATATATATATATATGTGTGTGTGTAATATGTGCGTGTATATCGACGGCGCTCGCGCGTTTGTGTGAAGGCATTTGTGCATTGCCGTGGCATATACAGTGTGCAATATAACAGCGAGCGCATATTGTTGCAGCTTCTATCGGTTAACTGAGCGCATCCTTGCGCCGCAGCCGCCGCGGAGATTGACGTGACGTTTACGTGACATTGACGTGACATTGACGTGACATTGACGTACCATTGACGTGCCATTGATGTGACATTGACGTGACGATTACGTGACATCTATGTGACAATTTCCGTGACATTTACGTTATGTCTACGTGACGTTCACGTGACGTTTGTGAGAGACTCGTGCGACGGTCTCGTGACGTTTGCGTGATATTAACGTGACGTTTACGTGACGTTCACGCTGACATTTCGTGGACATTTCGTGGACATTGTGTGGACTCTGCGTGAACATTGTGTGGATCTTATGGGGCCATTACGTGGTAATTATGTTCTATACGCTAACGTGTGGAATTGTTAGTAAACACCACAACGTCACGCAATACAGCATTAAATGTTCTGTTGTTTTCAGCGGGCGCATCCACATTGTTTCTCCATTCGAGGAGAGGACGCCGGAGAAAGATTCAGCCTAGACAGGTGATATTGACCTATATGACGTCAGCTCGTAGCATCACCCGGTGACCTCAGTTCGACGCGTAACACTGTGACGTCATCTGAAAGGGCGTACACGTGGTAAAATTTCCGGATAGTGTCGCTCTCCTGCTTACATCTAATCACGCAAGCGTCACGCTAACACGGCATCACGCTACCGGATGAATTAAGTTCACGCGACCGCTCAGAAACACGCGCGTGAATCGCGGCGCGTGACTGCGCACCGCGTCGCGTCACCGACGACCAAGCTTTTCCCAAGATGGCGTCGCTGGCGAGCGTCAAGCTGACGCAGGAGATCATGGAGGAGTTTCTAACGTGCAAGCTCTGCTACCAGCAGTTCGTGTCGCCAAAGTGTCTCACCTGTCTGCACACGTTCTGTCAGATGTGCCTCGACAAGCAGGTCGCCACCATGCGTCGGCCAGTCTATGGCAGCTACGTCGACCTGCCATGTCCGATCTGCCGGAAGCACACGACTCTGCCGACAGGCGGCGTGCGAAACCTACCGGACAACTTCATGGTGACGAATCTGAAGGAGGCCGTCGGCAAGCGGTCGGCCGGAAAACTACCGTTCTGCGAATTCTGCCGAGCGTTGAGCAAAAAGATCGTCGACGCCGTCGCCAAGTGTCTCGACTGCAACAAGCAGATGTGCGTCGCGTGCACGCAGGCGCACCGCGAGATGCGACTAACGAAAGCGCACACGGTGTGCGACACGGACACGGAGAAAGATATCGAGTGTAAGGCGCACAGCGACGAGCAGGTCAGGTTCTACTGCCAGCCTTGCGACCAGCTTGTCTGCATCCTCTGCACGTTTGAAGATCATGCCGGACATGACATCAATGACATGAAGGAAGGCGCCGACAAAATGAAAGAAGGTATGTCTTCTTTTCTTCTCTTCATTTTTTCCGCCCCCCTTTTCTCCTGTTTATCGCCCCCACCTTCCTCCAATTCTCATTCTGCACCTCGCCCCTGCTCCTCCTCTGCGCTACCTTCTTCCTGCCTCCTCTTCCCTCGCTTCCTCCTTTTTTTCTTTCTCCCATCCTTCTCCTTCTGCTCTACCTTCACCTCCTTCTCTACCCCCTACTTTTCTTTCTCTTCCCCTCCTTCTCCTTCTCCCTCTCTCATCCTCCTTCTCCTTTTTTCATCATCCCGCTTCGTCGCCTCTTCCTCCTCCTCCACCACCACATCTCCACCATCTCCTCATCCTTTTTCTCTTCCTCCTCCTCCTCCTCCTCCTCCTCGTCATCTTCCCCTCCTTCTCCTTCTCCTTCTCCTTCTCCTCCCCTTCTCCTTCTCTCCCCCTCTTTCTCCATCTCTCCTCATCCTCTCTTTTTCCTTCTTCTCTTCCTCCTCCTCCACCCCCGCTTCCTTCACCACCTCCCCCTTCTCTGTCTACGCTTGATAACAACCTCTCTCTCTCTCTCTTGCTGCAGGCATCACCAATCTTCTTGTCTCGTGCAAGCAGAAGGCGGACGAGTTGAAGCAGCAGCTAGATGCGATGCACGACTGCTCGACGCACATGCACGACACCGAACAGCGCATTCACGCGTCGGCGCGTGACGTCATCGCTGCCGTGCGCGGCCGCGAGAGGGAGCTGGTGCACGAGCTGCACGCGGCGTACGGCGACGACACGATCGAGTTTCTGGAGTCGCGCGCCGACGTCAAGTCGCGCCACGACGGCCTCGTCAAGAACCTGCGCCTCGCCGAGTCGCTGCGCGAGAAGGAGGTCGAGTTCCTCTTTGTGAAGAAGGAGCTCGAAGAGAAGCTGGGTCAGCTGGCTGGGGTCAAGGTCAGGTCGATGCCCGACAACGTCACCAAGCAGTTCGACTTTCTGCAAGGTCCCGTCGAGCTGGGATCAATCAGCGAGCCAGCTGCCGACGACGACGTCGATGACGACGATGACGACGACGATGACGATGCCAATAGCGACGAGCAGCCGACGATGGTCGAGACGTGCGATAAGTGCGTCGGCACGGCGGCGACGCTGACGCTGACGCAAGCCGCGCAGACGCAGCTATCGCAGCGCGACGTCAAGTTCGTGCCGCTCGACGACGCGAGCGCGGCGACGCAGACGCCGACGCTGCCGACGTGCGACGCGTCGACGCAGCTGCCCAACGAGAAACAGCAGAAGGTGCACGTGACCGAGCAGCAGGGCATCGCCATCTTGCCCAATGGCGACCTCGTCATCATCGACACGGAGGAGAACCGACTGGCGATCATGGACAAACGCGGCAGATTCCGCTACACATTCGACAACGAACAGCTGACGCTGCCGGACAAGCTGCAGCTGGGCAAGCTGAGAGACTTCCAGAAGGATACCGACCAGCACATACGCATCTACACGCCCTACGGACACCTACTCAGCTGCTACGAGGACGAGGTGATCACGTGCCTGCCGCTCGGTACTAGGTTCGAAAAGAAGGAGATGTTTCGACAGTAGACGGGGGGCTGCAGTGGAGCGTGGGTGGGGTTAGGTAATAGATGGAAGTTGATGAATCATGGGTGGGGTTAGGTCATGGAAGGAGGTTGATGGGGCGTGGGTAGGATTAGGTAATAGATGGTGGTTGGTAGAATGTGGGTGTGGTTAGGTAATAGATGGAGCTTGGTAGAGCGTGGGTGGGTTAGGTAATAGATGGAGGTTGGTGAGGCGTCGGTGGGGTTAGGTAATGGATGGAGGTTGATGGAGCGTGTGTGGGTTAGGTAATCGATGGTGGTTGGTGGAATGTGAGTGGAGTTAGGTAATAGATGGAGGTTGGTGGAGCGTGGGTGGGGTTAGGTAATAGATGGAGGTTGGTGGAGCGTGGGTGGGTTAGGTCATAGATGGAGGTTGGTGGAGCGTGGGTGGGTTAGGTAATTGATGGTGG